CCCGGGGGCTCCCGGGGGCTCCGGTGGCCCCGGGCATCCCAGCCGCCTGCAGGGGGTGGAGCTGAGCCCCCGCGAGCGCTGACGGCCAAGGCCTGGGCGAAAACCAGCGCCTCTAAAGGAAGCCCGGGAAAGGGGCTGCAGAGCCTGGGCCCCCGGGGTAGGCTCCCCGCCCAGGCCGCTACATTAGAACTAATCCAGTCACAGCAAAGCTCCAAATGGGGTACCGCGCACCCGGGGAGACAGTTACGTTGTCACGTTCCTTTCGGAATAATTTCCATGTCTTGATTTTTTTTATTTTTATTTTTCCAGTAAAAACGTCAGGGTTGAAGAAGAGCAACCCAAAGGAATGCGCTGGAATGGTTTCTAGAACAGTGCCCATCTCGGAGATGACCGGCCGCTGGCTCCGTCTTGGGGTCCCTTTTCAGCGCACCCCTAAGCGCGCCTCGCCCTGCACAGAGCGTGCCGGCGGCTGCAAAACCGGGGGAATAATGTCGACAACAGCTCCATCAAAGCGGGAGCTGTGTGCGAGACTTGACGCCAGAATCCCAGAATCTCCTCGGCGTGTTTGCAAGTGTGTCATGTAGGCTCGGAGATGCCCGGGTCGCACCCCCAGGGAGCGGCAGAGGGGCCCTGGGCTCCGAGGCCCGCCTGGCGCTGTTCTTTCCGCGCCCGCTCGTCGGGGCTGCGGTTAAGCCGAGCGCGGAAGCTCGGTTACTTAGTTACTTAAAAACACTTACTTTAAAACTGAAGCTCAAGCTCTGAGGTAAGGAGAAAACGGAAACGTCTTAATACTCTCCGGAAAGGGCCCGAGGCAGCTGTCTTTCAACCCCGTTTTACTTCTAGACCTGGGCTTTGCATTCAAACGGGCCTGAGTGTAGAGCCCGGCTCTGCCACGCTTTTATCAGCTGACTGACTTCAAGGAAACGACCTAACCTTAATTATTAGTCTGTTTGTATATCTGTAAACTGGGGACAAACCTAGCTCAGGAGGAAGTTGGAAAATGTGAGAATGTATGTAAAGCATGTGGCATTCTGCCTTGCCTATAGTAGGCATTCAATTAAACTAACTATTATTTGCAAAGATTTGTTTGATATAAGGCAGGTCATTCATGTAGCTTCTCGCCCACTTATTCTGACAAGGGTTCTTACTGTGGAACCCCAGAGCTGTAACTAGAGACATTAGCTGATTGGTTAGATTCACATCAGGTACTTGAGAAAATTTGGCATTAATTCTCTCTACCGTGTATTGAATAGAGTTAGAGAAGCCGTTTAGTGCTCCTTCTGCAGGATTTCGAAAGCGACTTTTGTCAGAAGGTTCTAAAAAATAAAAAAAAGCTTCATTTTGTTAATTACAGGTAAGTTTTTCTAGGAAGGGTAGAAGGAAGAGAGGAAGAAATCTTAGAATGTATCATGGCCTGAAAATTAAAATTAAAATGTGTAGTCCTTGCCTAGTAAATGACCTTAAACTCAGAACCCTGTTTTGCTGATATCATTTCTTTTCAAAATGCAATACAGTTTGGTAGTAGTCTAGGCATTATTGTGAGAATGGAGGCACAGTAAATTCAAAAGATTAGTAAGACACAAGTCTCTTACTTCAAGGTTTTACAATTTAGTGCCCATAAATAATTCTAACCCCAGGCAATTATCTGGTGCCAAAAACAGATTAATTCTGACTAAGGGGGTCTGAGAAAGCTTACCAAAGGTGAAGGTATTTATTTGAGCAAATAGACAAACCAACTGTAAAAGGCATTTTGGGAGAAATTAGGGAAACTTTAAATATAGACCAGATATAAAATAATATTAAAGGAGTTTTGTTAATTTTGTTGGGTATGATAATGGTATTTTGGTTATGTAAAAAAATAAAACCCCTTTTCAGGACTGAATATATGTAGAAATAGTTAAGGGAGAAATATCATGATGTCTATGATTTACTTTAAAACACTTCGTTAAAAAACAAACAAAGCAAATTTAGTAAAATATTATTCAACCTGGAAGTTAGGTATGTGGGAGTTATTCTATTCTACTTTTATGTATGTTTGAAAATGTTCAGAAAATGTTGTAAAAATGCACATATTGGATTTAGTTACAGATATAATGTGCACATATAACCTTTAAGATCTGCTTATTTCTATGGCAGCAATGAGAACTACACCCAGACAGCTACTTTTCCTTTCAGTTAATGCCCAGATTGTTGAACTTGTGGGAGATGCAAGGTCAGTATGGAATTTTGTCTTTCCCAGGGTGACTAGCAGGCACAGCTCCCACCTTTCAAACCCCAAAGGAACCCACTCAGGACCCTTCTTCCTCTGTGGCTGCCCCAAGTCCATAGTCACTTGGGGGAGCATCCCCTCCCCACCCCAATTGCCAGAAACTTCTGGAACCTCCTCTAACTGCTGCAACCCAGGCTTTCAGGGACATGGAGCCATGACCACTTGGTTTCCACACCAGCAATTTAAATTTAGATTTTCGTCAGTCCAGCTCAGGCTTTATAAGAAAAATATTCTTTTATTAAATACTTTCTGTTGAAATTCTTTCTGCCCATCCTTCAGTGGGTACCTAGTTACCAGGTTTAGCAAATACTGGATTTGCTCAATTTTGGCAGGTCTGCGGGTATCCTACTATATTGTTTAAGGCTGCTAATGTGGCTCAAAAAGTTTGTGCTCACCCTAGCGGGTTTGGCTCAGTGGTTAAAGCGGTGGCCTCCGGACTGAAGGGTCCCGGGTTGGTTTCCAGCCAAGGGCACGTACCTCGGTTGCAGGCTCCATCCCCAGCCCTGGTCAATGTTTCTCTCTCCCTCTCCCTCCCTTCCACTGTCTCTGAAAAGCAATGGAAAAAATACCCTCAGGCGAGGATTAAAAAAAAACAGTTTGCTCTCGAGGTATAGGGAAAGCTATTCATACTTCCCTGGTGCTTAGAAACTGAAGTGTTTGAATCTTCTCACTAATTAAGAATAGCTTTTGGAAGTTGCCAGAGCCGTCCTCAAATCAGACTGAAACTGAGTCAAAGCCAGCAGACTGGTGGTTACCAAAGGGGAGTGAGGTGGGG